TGCGTTATATGCAAGGCAGAAGTGAAGCAAAATTAATAAAATTTTGTTAATTAAAGTTCATTATCATCATCTACCTGTTACAGGTAGAGACCTTAGAAGGGCCAAACGAGAAGGCTTAGACAATAGTCGCCACGTTCGGTCCAAAGCGAGTCTGAATCTCCTCGACAACGTTTTCTTGTTCTATTAAAGCAGATTAAACCTATTGTTAGTAAACTAAATCAAACGAGATCACCTACAGAAGAGGCAAACATTCTCCCAACTAATTTCATTTGTTTTTATGTAATTGTTTATTGCACAGGAAAACACAAATCACGTTCAGTAAAACGGAAAACACAAACAAAAGGTACTACTGTTTATTTCTAAAAGAAATTTCTTCCTGCAGACCAAAATACAGGACAAAATAATTACAATATCGGGTTTACGTGCACAACAAAACAAATGTAAAAAAAAAAACAAAAACAATTATTATTATATAATATTAAATTACTGTAGACTATATAAATACATATTTCATATAATAATATCTACAAAATGGATGGAACAGAGGATAAATAGTGCTCCTTGATTCTTATTTTAAAGATAGCTAAGGATTTCCCATCATGAACAGTAAGAGAAGTGCGTTCCAAAGTCTGACCGAATGAACAGTAAAGGAGTGAGAATAAAAACCGAAATTGAATGACTGGGAAAAGTAACTGGGACCTAACGAGAGAGCGTGTATTTTAATACACATGAAATTCATAATGATGTATTTACATGGTCACACAATCATGATGTATTTACTATCATGATAGTCATATATTTTGTGTACAAAGCCACGATGAAGCAACAGGCGCTGGTTTGAATCGAAGGAGTTTTTTTTTGTGTTTGTTCTATCTTTGTATCACTGTTGATAGATTATGTTAAGTTGTTTTTTATTAATTTTTTGTGATAGGCAGTGACGGGACGAACAAGTCATGTACGTGGTGCTACTCGATGACCTGGTGGTAGGCGACACGTCTGTCCATAGCAGTTGCAGTGTCAATCAAAGCTTTAAATCACAAAGTTCTGATGGACACTGCCACTACGCCTGTCACCCTGAATCATAAGTTGGCAAGTCCAATATGCCTGGGTGGCAGTACTTCGCTGGGTGAACTCAATCACAAGGGGCTCTACTGCTACTAATATAACAAGTATTATTTCTGTTTAGTTTTGTAGTAATTTAGTGCCATTCTAAGTTCTATTTATACGCGATCCTCTAGAAGTAAATGTCCAACATAAACGTGATGTTTTAGTGTTATTGTAAGACTGGCCACGAACAATAAACTCATTTCAGTTCGACAAATGAATATTTTGCATATCGATTGTTCTTACGTTACTGTTTCTTTGTCGTTCCGTTAAGAATACTATTGGCATTTACCTACTTTGTAGCTTCAGTTGTGTTAGAAAGCGACCGAGAAGTACATTTAGGAAATTGAAAGCATCGTCACTCGGTGTACTGATTGCAACTGCCCTCGTTAATGAATGTGCCATGACAGGCAATTGCGAGAAAGCCGAATTTTGCAGACAGTCGTATCATAGACTATTAATTAGTTGCTTTACAGATTTTTTTATGACTTCAAGTGATGGACGAACATGTCATGCGCCTGGCGGTAAGCGACACGCCTGTCCATAGCAATTATAGTGGCACTCAGAGATTTAAATCGCAAAGATCTGTTGGGTACTGTCACTTCGCCCGTCACCCTCGAGACATAAGTTGAAAAGTCCCATGTGCTTGTGATTTTACTAGCTTAACTCTTCAAAACCGAACGCAATAATGCTCACATTACTGCTTGGCGGCAGAAATAGGTAAGGTCGTAGTAACTTTCCTAGAAATTCTTTCACAAGGAGCTCTACTGCAACTACGCTATAATTTTTAACTCACATTTAATGCTAAATTACCCTTATTTAACTTACTTATTTCATTAAAATAAAAAATGCATAACCAAACTGCATTATGCACATTACGTTTTACATACATGTTACTTTGTTGTATACTTAGAATAGATATGTGTATATATATATATATATATATATATATACATATACATACATATATTACATTATATTTTACTCGTGAACCCAGCCTGTCTGTTGCTGGGGTCCAGCCGATGATTTCCTTCTCCAAAAACCTGTCCTTATTGGCCGATGGAATGATGTTGCGGCCAACAAAGATCACCACAAATTATGCCGGGAGCATTTGAGCATTGAAAAAGTGTTGGTATCTTCAATTCCAATTTTTTCGAATTTTATTGTTATTTATAGATTGTTATACATAGGAAAAAAAGTATACATGCACAAATACACGCGATTTAGATCCGAAAAAAAATAGTTTCATTTGCTATTTATTGTTAATTGTTCCTTTTAATTAAAATTGTAACTAATAGTGTTTACATTTATCGTAAAAGTTCACAATATTACATTGTAAGAACTACGTTTGTCATTCACGTATTCGCTCTATGACTTCTGACATCCTCAGTTCAATGTTGACTTAACAGTCGCAAGTGACTCGAGAGCGAGGTGAATTAGTATTTATTGCAGTCATTTTGAACGATTGCGACCCTACTTCTTATCGCGATTTATTGACGCGTTAGCCTACTTGTGGTAATAGCCGCAGGAATGTTTAAGCATTTACGTTTGACGGTCTCATTTGTTGAGCACATAACAAGTGTTGGTATAAGGTTGTTCTGATTTTAAACCGACATAAGACTTTAAGTACATAATAAATAATATTTTTATATATTTATTGCCAAAATGGAAACATTTGCGTTGATAAATTTACTTCGTTATTTGACGGTAAATATTTAAATCATACCCATTTGATTTTAAATACGTTTTACATCAAAACAGGCGCAGAGTTA